TTCAGAGGACATTTTAGACAGAAAAAGTCAATGACGTATTTGCTGCATTTATTGTGCAAAAACTTTAGTCCCCCTCAATTATTTTGGTTGAATTTTTTTTGTTTTTTTTCCTTTTCGTTTCATCATTTAGCGAGTTGAAATTACATGGAGGTTTTCAAGCAGAATCCATAAGTGCTCCGAAAAGCTGCTGACTACTTAATGATCTGACATGGTGAAGGTTATGTTTTCAAAGCATACTGTTTTGCATTTGTTTTTTCGATTCGTTTAAGGTAAGGGGACATAGCTTTGCTTGGACAAAAACAATAGAACTTAAGAGGTAAAAGTCTTTTTAAAATACGCCCCAGCTGGCAACCTTGGAGTGATTGTTTAAATCGTCTTAGGGGCACGTGGGATCATGGCAGAAATCCATCTCCCGCCACCTGAACCCTCGGACACACGGTAAGGGAATCTACCGGTGGCTGAAACCTCCTGTTTGACCATACAGGCAATATGCAATGCTGGAGGGTTGCATGTGATGCAATGTCTCCTTGTGATGTCAGCCGCCTCGCTTTGTTGAGGCCAGTGAGGAAATGAAGCGAAGAGCCCCCTCCAACGAGAGAAGTGGTACAACTGTTTTAGGATGGGGGAGGTTAAGGGGAGTAAACTCCACTTGTTTGTGAATGTTTTGTTTTTCAGCCCATTATTTAATACCCCCCTTTTTTTCTTTTCTTTCTTTTTTTTAATCTGTGGATTGAGTCTGGGCTTTTTCTGGGGTTTGCGGTAATGCTGCTGGTGAGATGTTGAGGCTTCAAATTGCAAACAGGAACGGCTTTTTTATATGAGCCTTGACGGTTGCGTTGTTTACGGTGGATGTGGTTCTCTAATCATTTTAAAAGTTAGAGTTAATAGAGGGATAGTTCACCAAAAATTATTGTCTTCATTTACTCACCCTTCACTAGTTCCCAAACTGTCTTCTGTTGAACACAAAACAAATGACAGCCATTGATTTCCACAGCATTTGTTTGTCCTGCTCTGAATGTCAATGACTGTCAGTTTCCAGCATTCTTTAAAATATCTTCTTTTGCGTTCAACAGATAAGGGAAGCTTATTGTAGTTTGTAAACGTTCACGGGCGAGGAAATGTTCATTTATTGGTGAATTATGCCTTTAAGCACTGTGTTTGATGTGAAAGTTCATTCTCTCCCTCCATTACCTGCCTGAGTGTTTTTAAATTTGAATCCTAGCTTCTCACTTGTTAACGCAGCGATGAAAAATCCTTCCACAATGCAAAAGTTACATTTCAGTGATGTTCACTGACCACCGCCTATTTCCCCATACTCAATGTGGGAGTTTTACAGGTTAGTTTACAAGTTATTTTATAGGACTTACAGAGTCAGATCCCAGGAAAAGCCCTAACTCGGTGCATGCCAGGGGAGACATGCCCTCTCCATTGTAGTAAAAGCATGTTTTTGTTCCTTCTTTCTTTGGAAAAATTTTATCTTTTTCTGGAGCTCTATATTGTATGACTTTTAAACCTCTAAATAAAAATTACTATTTGCATTATTTTGTTTTTCATTGTTTTTGTAGATAAAAGCCATACATCATAGGTCTCAAACTTGATTCTTGGAGGGCCACAGCTCTGCACATTTTTACTCCAACCCTAATCAAGCCTAGCTGATTCAAACAATCAAGGCGTTCTTAACTACTAGAGAAGCAGGTGTGAGATGGTTAAAGCTAAACTATGCAGAGCTGCGGCCCTCCAGGAATGGAGTTTGAGACCATTGCCATGTTTAGTATAATATATAAAAGATTTGTTATATGGTACTTTTGTTTTTGGGGTTTTGGGATGTTTTTGTTTCATTTAAGTTTTATTTATTTATTTTTTTAAACGTTTTATATAGTTTTAATTTGATTTATTGTGATTTGTTTTTATTAATTGAATTTGTTTAATTTCTTTTTTTTATTACTTTGGGATTTTTATTTTATTTTGCAAGATTAGAAACTCCAAAAGACCATATTATAGATTTAGTTATAACCAAAAAGTATAGTTTCTCATTTTATTTTGAGTATATTTTTGTTTTTCATGAGACTACACATCTCACAAGACAAGGCTACACCATTAACAACACTTATTGTACTTTATGATCTATAGGGCTAAATGCACAGCTAGTGTTTTTCATCCAATGATAAACTTCTGGGGGCCTCATGTACGAAGACTTGCGTTGAATTCATACTAAAACATTGTGTATGAACGAAGCTGTAAATGTGCGTACGCAGTAAAAAATTCAGATGTATGAAACACTGCTTACACGGAATCACACGCATATTCTCTTTGTACATTCGAATTAACGTTAAAACTGAGCGCACGTGCATTAGCGCAAAACCCATCCCAGCCTCCTCCCCCTATTAAATATGGTAATGACTCTACTTTGGCAAAAGCAAATGAAAGAGCAATGGCAAAAGCAAGCAAAAAGAAAAACTTTAAACAGAATGTGAATTGGAGGTGCTCCTATCAGAGGTAGACCGGAGAAAAGCAGTGTTATTTGCGAATTTGTCCTCCAGAATTCATGACAAAATTAAAAAAAAATAGAGTAGAAGAGTTTAGCTGACGCGGTTAACGCAGTTGGGTCTGAACATTCCACTGTGAGTGAATTAAAACAGAAAGGGTTCGATGTAAAGGTGTAAAAATTTTGAGGTGTCTATTTAGGCAAAGTGCAAATATGTGCAAAGTGCAACATAACTAAAGAGAGCGGCAAACAGCAGCATAAGTGGCGTAGCTCGTAAAGCGCATGGCAACATGTTTTGACACGCGTGTTTGACACGCTGGAACCCATTCGAATCCAGCGTCTGATAAACCCCTTTTTTCCCCTATTACATTTCAGATTTTGCCTACTCTTCATCACGAGGAAGACAAGTAGGAATCATTAATAAGTGTGTGTATTATGTTAATCGCATTTGAGCATCATATTTTATTTGAACATTTATTGAATGGAAATGTTTCCGATTCACGTATGCAAATTCGTCTTCAGATGGCGCCTTTATAGCAATGTGCGTGCAGTTGATCGCTCAGATTACATTGGGAAAACCACCGATTGCTGCAAGTTTCGCTTTAATGTTTGGCTTGTCAACTGTATAGTATGGAAACCCTTTATACCTGCTAGACATGCGGATGATCCCGTCCCATACAGATGCCATTGCACGGCTCAAAGACACTTTGTAGTGTGCAATTTAACATAATAGTCTGTCACCAATGGAAATAAAACAAACACACACAAGAAATGCATGTACGCCAGACATGAAATTGGCGTGGACCAACGCACTTTGTTACGTTCATTTCATCATTAGTAAATCCAAAAGTGAGCGTGAAATCTGCCGTACGCAAAGTTTTTGTGCATACGCAGCGTTGATACATGAGGCCCTTGGTGAAAGCTTAATGTGACTTTTTCATGAGGTTCCTTTTACAGCATTTATGCTGTAATGTAATTGCAATAGGGGAATTACCAACCCATGTCACACATGACATCACACGAGTTTAACCGCGCATACTGTTTGCAAAAAAAGACCGGTTGCAATAGCAAACTTGTTGTGCAGTAGGATGCCAAAATCGAAAAGTCCAAAAATACAAAACCTAAACTTCACCAGACAACACACTGCTTTTAATGCCAACCGCAGACATCTTTGGCTAACAGCCATCAGAAGAACTTAATTCTGGACTCTGCAGTTCTCATGTTATATCAGGTAAGTTCACGCTATGCTGAATCATACACATTACTTGTTTTTGATTGCAGCAATGATTTCAGCATAAACAGTTAGACATGGTTAATTAAACTGCAGACTGAATGCTTGGAATGAAATGTAAAAATGTAAGTTGACATACCCTGCCGTACAGGTGCAGTTCGCTGTCAGAAAGTAGTTGTTTTGCTTGTTGATGATTACCCAGGCCTTGTATAGCTCTGTCTTCTTTTCTTGTCTTTGAAAAGGCAGAAGTTTTTAGCACTACAAAGTTTTGAATCTGGTAATCATGGAACATTATTTCTTGCACATCACCACGCAGAACTAAAGTGTTGGCATCCACAGACTTGTAGGCGTTTAACTTCACTCTTGTAAAAACACTTGGAGTTTCAATGAGATAGTTATATATTTGGGGCTGGATGCTTGGCCATTTCATCTTATTCAATACCCATTGGGATCGCAAATGGACCTGTTAGACAAACGCTGCTCACTTTAACATTAATTTTGCAGAATAAATGTGCCTATCATTTTGCGACAAGCTGTTATAATACGCTGAAAGCATTATGTAAATAATGTATATAATATGTAAACAATATAACTTATCTCTAATACAACAACAAACTCTGTACCGCATCGGATGTCATTCCCTTGCTGTAATTTCTAGCACTCCTGGTTTTTTTTCAGCAACCTCGATGTGTGCACATCCTGAATGTCTACCAACTGGTAATTTGCCTCTACATTCAGTTAAATAGTCCTAAGCATTCATTTAGTTGTTGAAGCGTAAAACGAAATGAAAGACAGTGTAACTGCTAGTACCGTGAAATTCCTAGGGTAAAATAAGCTGTCATATTTTAAAGACATGGCCGGGGAAAATTTAATTTAATGTAGAGCTTTTTGACCGGTCTGACACCCACTTCATATTGTAAATCTAACAGGCAGGGAAGATCACTTAATTTTAAAGTAATCAGAAACGTGGCGATTCTATAATGGAAACACAGTTTACCGGAAGTGCTGAGGCTGGCTGAAAATTAAAAGTCTGTGTGCATGTAGCCCATTGGATTTCAGTATTTTTCATTTTAGCTTTGCTTTTGTTTTGTTTTTTGGTATCAAAATTAATGTAATAATTTTTAGATATTTTTTTAATATAATTTATTATTATTATTGTTTTTATTATTTAAAAGTAATTTGATATTGCGAGGCTACAAAGTCCAAAAGACAGTCTCCACCACTAACAACAAACATTCACGTCTCCTGCGTTGTGTGCGTTTTCCTAGACCTCATCATCAATAACGCCCATCAGCGCAGAATCGTGATCTGATTTGATACAATTTCCCCCGTCTTCTTTGTGATTGGACGAAGTGGAAATCCCGCCTCACTGTTTTGTGACTGGCAGTTTCATGCTAGGTCAGTAATGGAGTAAATTGTTCAGGATCAACAAAGTTTCATCGGGAATATCGTTTCATTAAACGATGGACAAGCAGTCGGTAGGTCTTTATACGTGACAGTCCTGCTGATACGCCGCGATAAAGAGATTAGTTATGAAGTAAATTATCGAAAACATGGTGTTGTGTTAGCTGTCGTGTTAGCTCTCTTCCAGTTAAGCCATCTCTGTACCTTAAGGCCATGCTAAAGAAAGCAAGTAAATAAGTTATACTGTAATATGTGTGCAGTCAGATATATTTTTATATGTCTGTGTTGTATTTATTTTGTCTGTTCGTGCTCAGAACTCAACACAGGTGTAGCTTTATATTAAAAGCTAAGAAGCTAATTCTGTTAGCCAGTTCAGTGTTAAAGAGCTTTACATGCTAGTATTGACAGGCGAATCAAACTGCCTTTCTTTAATGTGTTTTTATGCATTTGAACGTAGATTTGAGAAACAATCTAATTTGGGTTCAACCTGTAGTTTATGTCTCTGATGTGATAGTTTAATTCAAATCTGCTTCTTTAGGAATTTGCAAGGAATTTAAGCAAATACAGTAACTATTGTTTAAAATGCATCAAACCTTTCTGTATATGTCGAAACAATCAGAATAGTGTCTATGTGGAACATTAGGACAGTAAGTTTAATGAGCAATGCCAGTGTTATGGATGTGACATTTGCAGTAAATACTTAAAACTTAAATTCACAGAGAAAGTACAGTGCATCTGGAAAGTATTCATAGCGCTTCACTTTTCACACATTTTTTTATGTTGCAGCCTTATTCCAAAATTGATAAAATTCATTTATTTCCTCAATATTCTACACACAATACCCCACAATGACAATGTAATATATATATATATATATATATATATATATATATATATATATATATATATATATATATATATATATATATATTAAATTGTTGCAAATAAATTCTAAATAAAAAACCTGAAAAATCACATGCACATGAGTATTTACAGCCTTTGTTCAATGCTTTGTTGATGCACCTTTGGCAGCAATTACAGCCACAAGTCTTTTTGAATATGATGCCACAAGCTTGACACACCTGTCTTTGGGAATTTTCGCCAATTCCTCTGGATGGATTGTGCGCACATCTAAAAATCTCAAAGGCAGGTCAACAATCAAATTCATAATCAAAATCAATCAAATAATCAAAAATAAACAAAGTTTAGAGAGTTTAGTGTTTGAGAGCTAAAGTGGCAGTGTGTCGATTTTCTTTTAAAAAACGGTGTATAGCCTATTTCAGATCTCTCTAGAGATGTTCAATAGGCTTAAGGTCTGGGCTCTGGCTGAGTCACTCAAAGACATTTAATGAGTTGTTGTGAAGCCACTCCATTGATATTTTGTTGGTGTGCTTTGGATCATTGTCCTGCTGGAAGATGAACAGCTGCTTTTTTCACATTGTTATTATGAGGTATTGTGTGTAGAATTTTAGGGAAATAAATAAATTAAATTCATTTTGGATTAAAATAAAGCTGTAACATAACAAAATGTGGAAAAAGTGAAGCGCTATGAATACTTTCCAGATGCACAGTATATGTTAACATTATATTAAAACATTCATTCATTCTTTTCGGCTTAGTACCTTTATTAATCAGGGGTCGCCACAGTGGAATGAACCGCCAGCTGGTCCAGCACATTTTTTAAGCAGTGGATGCCCATCCAGCTGCAACCCAACACTGGGAAATATATTGAAATATCTGTTTATATTTTCCAGAAAATCTAACTACAGTGTTAAGGGATCAGAAAAAAATCCATCTGTAAACATGTTTTGTTCTTTAAGTGAGGAAAATAAACAGGCGTAATGGATGTGACCAAAAAAGTATGCGAGTTTGCAGTATACAAAATACTTTGTAGAAGTACTGTGAATTAAACTGCACAACCCCCAAAAAACACTTATCTAAACGACAAGTGTGATTTTATTTTATTTTGTATTTTTGCATTTATGAGGGAAAAACTTCATTATGGATGTGACCGATGTGAAATTGCCACTAGTGTGACTTTGGTAAATCAAATATAATTGTTTCAAGAGTTCACACTTAGCTGATGATTGATTATAAAGCTAGTTTGGCATGCTGTCCCTCGAGCCCGGGGCTCCCTCTCATTGCAAGGCTAGATGGGAGTTTGAGCTCAGGTAGATTTTGAGAACTTCCCTGTCATGGTGGCTGAAGAGCAGATAATAATTGCTCTTTTAAAGAGATAAGTACTTGGTAGGAGCATGTCTGTGGTGTTCATTTAAGCCTAGTTCACACTACAGGATTTTAAACATCAGCAAATCGCTGTGCTGTTCACACTACATGACTTGACTTTGTGTCTTTTAATCTCTGTGGTGTTCACACTACGCAACACTCCGTGAACGATCCAAAAGAGGGGGGTCACACACTACATGATCTGACAACAACTCATTCCCCATCAGCTCATTCAAGCTACCAAACCACAGCCAATAAAAATTTGAGGGAGGAGTCGTCAGAAAAAGCTGAACACTATTGGCTGCTTGTGTGCTGATGACATCACTGACAGCGTTTCAAGCTTTGGAGAAAGCATTTAAAAACATCGTCAAATCAGCTGATTTATCAGTGGATTAATCACTCATCTGCAAGGTTCGAGTGGATAGATTCACAGAGAGTTTTTAATTTTTGTAATTTTATAACTCTTTGAAATAAAACTAACATATTTATAACACCCTGCCGTTTTCTAACTATCAGTGTATTTCTTTCTGACATTGTTATTTTTTTTATTACAAAACAGTAAAGAACTGAGCATTTCTGCCTTAAATTACTTTATTTGTCAAAATGACTGCATGCATGTCTGATACTTTTCGCTGTGACTTTAAATGTGTGTGCATTTTCTTGCCTGGCAACTTCCTGCTAACATAAACAAAACTTTCTGATGGCAAAAACATCAATTTACTTCAGATATCTTTCAAAACAGCATATTCTGTGCTGTTAAAAAGCTCCTGTTTGAAAGTGAAAATGAAAGCCAAGACCTTTAAGTGTTTTAGTATCTTAACTACATATTTATAGGCTGTATTACCAAAAAAATATTATATTTTTAGGGTAATGGTGTCATTAAATATGATGCCAAACATTCAAAGCTTAATTTTAATATCTCAATAATAGCTTTGAATGTAAATATGTTGTGACAGTATGGCGTTTTATATAAGAACGGTCAGAATGAGCAGTATGGTAATTCTAATAGTTACAGAATTCTAGTTCCACTGTTAATATAGCCTACTCTCGTGTCTGTGTTAACACAGAATGAAGCGAGTGCACCGATGCCAATTCTGACCAATCACAGATGTTTCTGCTGAGCTCCTGAACACACAGGCATTCAGCTCATGCTGAAATGCTCTCTCATTGGCTGCAGCTCGTCACTACATCTGACCAGACGTGGGGTTGAGTCGGCCGACTGCTCTGGAATATTTAGCATGCTGAATGTTGGATTTCCGTCTGCGAGGTGTCGGCGACGCGTCAGCGAGCCTCGCTGATGCGTTGTTCAGTAGTTCACACATAAAGAGCGGCGAGCGCCGAGCACCCGCAGATTTCTTCCCGATCACAGCCCGATCTGTCGGCGAGCTCGTTAACTTCCAAATCGGGCTCAAATCAGGCCTAAAATCCTCTAGTGTGAACTAGGCATTAGATTAGTCAATAAACTTAAGTTGCATGTTTTTGGATGGTGGGAGGAAACGTGTAAACTTCACACATAAACGTCGGCTGGCTTGGTAAGGACTAGAACCAGAGACGTTCTTGCTGTGACAGTGGTAAGCACTGGGCCACCGTGCCAACCATTCAGGAAGGAGAAGTGGGGAAAGAGGGGATTCTTCAAAACAAAGATAGCTGTGATACGTAACCTAGGGTATTTATAGTAGCTTAGGAATCGTCTGATTGCTGCATTGTAAATTGGCATGTAAAAAGCATGTGATCCGCTCGAAATTAGTTTATAAATAAACCTCACTCAAAAACATTGACAGAGTAAATCTAAAGTACTGTAAAATACTTACACAAAAAACGTAGAAACAGTTTTGGTATTTAGGTAAAAACTTTGGTATAAAGGTTGACATTTGCATGGAATTGCTCATGTTATTTTCTTACATCCCTGTGATTCAATGGTATGTTGTAGTCTTGTAATAAAATCAGTTATTTTACCTTCTCTGCAGTTGTTTATGCAGCACAGAGGAGCATGGATCTTTGAACTCCCGCACTGTTGAACTCGCATGTGTAAATCTGCATGCTTCATGCTGCAAGGTAATGTTGCGATCATCACTATCATACTCATTCACATCTAATGTGAGTTTCACTGTTTTCAGATATAATATTTCTTGTATTGTGTTTTGGTCTTAACAGGCTGTAGAGTGAGCCAGGATGCCGGAGATAGTACAGAATCAAACGAAAAACTTAAAACCGCCACGGTACTGATCAGTTATTTTATTAAGGAGTGCACTGAATGTCACAGCAGCTAGTTCAACCTAACCTAGTGTTAGTTTTGTGGGCAACACTTTAAAGAAATGTTCTATGTTCACCCAAACATGAAAATTTGCTGTTAACTTTACATATTCTTAGGCATCCAAGTTGTTGGTGACCTTTTTTTCTGCAAAATAACATTACAGAATATTTTCAGCTGAAACCTTGGCCCTTGGTCAGCAGATGTTGGCACTTTGAAAGTCTAAAAACATGTACAGGAAAATTAGGATTAATACCCGTGGCTCCTGATGATACACAGGTGTCTTGTGAAGGGAAAATATTGTTCTGTGCAAGAAACAGAATATTATTTACAATATTATTACCTTTAAATCAAAGTGTTGTTAAGATAATAAGGTTGTGAATAACTCTTAAACAATTCTTGAACAGACCAATACCCTAGATTCAGCCAAAAAATGCTCATTTAATGTTTTACTGAAGAATATTTTTTGCATTTTTGTTCATTAAATTTTTCCCCTTATAAAGTTGCAAATACAAATAATTACCTTTTAAAAAGTAGAAAGAAGTCTGCCTAATGTTTATTCCTATTTTCATTCACATAAGTTGTTTACAATTGAATAACTTTCTGTAAATTGTTAGGCGGAAGAAAAACAAGGAGATTCACAATGCAGGTAAGAAACAACTGATACAATTTACTAGTGTGATTCTTTTAACATATTATTGATACTTAAAACAAGTATTTTTTTGTATGTTATAACTTCCTTATTTCCATTTATACATCAGTG